CTGATAAATCACATTTCGTTTTGTCTGAAAATTCCCGACAGTAGCTTTTCGTTTTTCTGATATTCGCATTTCGTTCTATCTGAAAATTTCTGATAAATCGCATTTCGTTTTGTCTGAAAATTCCCGACGGAAGTTTTTTCGTTTCTCTGATATTTCGCATACATAGCTGAAATTTCTGAAGTTAGTATTTCGTTTCATAGGGATTTTGGGATAACAATAGAGGTGGTCACATTCTCGGAAACTGAAATTCGTTCTTTTCTGAAAATCGCATCTTTACTCCATTTCGCAAATTTTTTTTTTCAAGATCGCATTTCTGTGAAAGCCGAAACCTTGCGGAACCTAGCCTAGATCTCGTTCATAGTACTCTTCTGACATGTCCTACACATCATAGATGGACAGATATACAAAAAAATAAATAAATAAAAGGAAGTAGTCCTCTTTTATTTTTTATTTTATTTTATCTGTTGATTAGGGCCGGAGGAAATATTGTTGGGATGGTTTCCTGCCTGCGTTTTCCCTCCCACCCACCCTTTGCATGCATTTCCGTGTTGGTACGGTGACACGTCAGCAGGCCACGTCAACAGTGACACGTCAGCTACAGTGACATGTCAGCGACAGTGACATGTCAGCAGGCCACGTCAGCAGTGCCACGTCAGACAGTGCCACGACAGCAGTGCCACGACAGCAGTGCCACGACAGCAGTGCCCGTCAGACACAGTGCCACGTAAGCAGTGCCACATCAGCAGTGCCACGTCAGACACAGTGCCACGTCAGACAGTGCCACGTAAGCAGTGCCACATCAGCAGTGCCACGTCAGACACAGTGCCACGTCAGACAAAGTGCCACGTCAGGCAAAGTGCCACGTCAGACAAAGTGCCACGTCAGCAGTGCCACGTCAGCAACATGACGGGCCTGCCAGGCCAACTGGCCAATGAGCCCATTGCCGACTACAAAGGTGCGTCCATGCTCAGCTCGCTGCAATCGACGCTGAGGAACAATGCCAGCTGGCAGTCAAGGCTGCCCAGCTACAGGCTGATGAAGCGGCAACAGTAGAGAAGCTGCGGCTACAGGCCGAAGCAGACGCAGATGCCCAGGCTCGCCGCAAGGAAGCCCAGGCTCTGCTGCAGCGGCATGAAGCCAGCAGCATCGAGAAACTCAAGTACTGGCACTTTGAACCGAACGGCGACGAGGCAACACCGGAAGAGCAGCATAGAGAGTTCTTGGCCAAGCTCGTGAGCAGGTTGGTTTACACATGTAACCACCTACAGTCCGAGCTGGCAAACCTCAAGCGAGCCGTGCTGAATGATAAGACTCAGCACGAGGATGCCACACGGGCACTGGACGCCCGTGTACTGGGCCTGGAACAGGCTGTACCAGGACCAGATGCTGGAGCTTCCAGCAGTGCATCCTCTAGCCGCCAACTGGAGGAACGCGTTGACCACGTAGTGGCAATGCTCGGCGACATCAGCGCCTTCGCTGCGCCGACCACCATCAGCAGTCAGCTGCATAACTTGAAGAGCGAGGTCCAGCAGCTGCAGTCGACGAACACGGATGACAATCCGAAGATGTACAAGATGCCAACTTTCCAACTGGAAAAGTTCGACGACTACACACAGCAGGATCCGGTCCTTTTGTGGGAAGCATTCACAATGCAACTCAAGATTCTGCCCGTAGCCAAGCATGCGTACATCGGCGCCCTGTTCCTGAACTCAAAGGGCGGATGTCAGACCTGGTTGATCCACCTGGCAACCTCTCATGGCATCGACGTACCGGACTTGAAGGACAAGATCACACGGGAGGAATTGACACGGCTGTGGAAGAAGCGGTTCATCGTCGACGACGCGCCGGCTCTCGCCATCAACCGTCTGTTCACCACGTCACAAGGCAACACTGCAGCACGGGATTGGCTCACGGAGTGGCAGAAGATTGCGGCGGTGCCCAATCTGGAGTTGGCATTCACGCATCTACGCCGTGAGTTCTATAACAGGTCCTGTGCGGCATTGAGCCAGGCTCTTGGTTATCGCGAGTAGTACTCAACCTTCGCTGAGATCATTGACAAGGCAAGGGAGATCATCAAGACCAACAGGTCAGCTGGGCAAGAGAAATCAAGCCGGCAACCGACCTATGTGGAGAAGGTACGAACTGGTCCGCGACAGCAGCACTTCGCTGCAGTCCAGCAGGACAGTGGAGATAACCCAGCAGCCACTGGCTGTTGTCCAGCCGTGAAGCAACAAGAAGTCCCGCAACAATGGGAAGGCGAAATCCGCATCGCAGGTCGGAAATGGACAGCCAGTACAAGTTCCATGGGTCAAGTTTGGCTTGACCGAGGCGGAGTACAAGGTCCGCGGCCGCTACGGCAGCTGCTACTGGTGCAACAACACCAAGCACAAGACCTCCCTGTGCCAAGATCAGGGCAAGGAGGATGYGYGACCCCGCCTCAGCTCGGGAAACTAAGCTCCGCGGAAGGTGAGGCGACTCCACCTTCTACTCCGCCAGATTCGGCCGCCTTGCTAGCTGCCTCCTGCACATCTGGGGAGAACGCGAATGTCGCAAGTCCTAGGTACACTTACGAGGACTATGCTGTCCACTTGGTTCCACCGCTGGACCAACCGTTCCACGTGCAACAATCCATCGCATGCACGGTTTCATCACCATCGACAATCGATTCGGCAACTTCGCCGTAATCTATCGCCGGGGATTCGACGTCATGGTCAAGACTTGAAGAGCTCGACCCATTGACGTTCACGGACTTCCAGCGGATGCCCGTTCCCTCGACCGGACGATTGCCGAAACCGCATTGCAACGTGCTTATGGCACAATTGCGGGATTACTTGCACACTGCAGTACCAGCTCCGTTGATGGACGCCGGAGTAAAGGTTGTCGACCTTCACGCTTACATTGCGAAGATCGACAGTGAGTTCAAGACGCAACGGTACGACGACATCGACGCACCATTGCTATACGTACGCATTCAGATCGGAGAGGCGACCTGCAACGCCTTGGTCGATTGCGGAGCATCTCGCAACTACATCAGCCAGGACTTCATGGTACGCGCCGGCCTTGGCCCACGTGTCCGGAGGAAGTCCCAGCCTACGCAAGTCACACTGGCAGACGGTCATACGCACAAGTCAATTGACCGGTGCATTGACGCCGTCCCCGTGTACTTTGCCCGTCACGCAAGTGAGGCGGTGTCCTTTGATATTCTGGACACCAAATTTGACATGATCTTGGGCATGTAATGGCTGCGAAGCGAGGATCGCCCGGTGAACTTCTTCAAACGCACCGTTCACATTCGTGATCGGAACGGAGTATTAGTTCCATGCACGGTGCCCCTTCCTCATCCTTCGATCATCTGCCACGTGGTATCCGCCGCAAGCATGCGAGCTTCCATCGTCAGAGACGACATCGAGGAGATGGGGGGGTGTTTTCTCCACGCTCTCCCGCCCCGAGACGCTTCATCAACGGACTCGTCTTCGGATCCACGCATCACCGAACTTCTCGACGCCTACAGCGACGTGTTCGAAGGCCCGCACGGAGTAGTACCGGATCGACCCATCCGCCACGAGATCATCCTCGAGGACGGGGCCGTACCTCCGCACGGTTGCATCTACCGAATGAGCGAGGAAGAGTTAAGTGTGCTTCGGGCACATCTCGACCACCTTTAGGAGAAAGGCTGGATTCGGCCTAGCTCATCGCCATACGGTGCTCCTGTTCTGTTCGTCCGGAAGAAGAACAAGGACCTGCGGTTGTGCATCGATTATCGCAAGCTCAACGCGCAGACGATCAGGAACGCCGGCCCTCTCCCACGCATCGATGACCTTCTCGAGCGACTGGGCGGCGCCCAATTCTTCTATAAGCTGGATCTCAAGTCAGGGTACCACCAACTCGAGATTCGCAAGGAGGATCGCTACAAGACCGCGTTCAAGACTCGGTATGGGCATTTCGAATGGCTGGTCATGCCGGTTGGCCTTACGAATGCCCCAGCCACTTTCCAAGCGGCTATGACAACGGAGTTCCGACACATGCGGGATCGGTTTGTACTCATCTACCTCGACGACATCTTGGTGTATAGTCGGAGTTTGGACGAGCATGTGGAACACCTGCGCACCGTTTTGGAGCGGCTACGACAAGCCAAGTACAAAGCAAACCGCGACAAGTGCGAGTTCGCACAGCAGGAGCTGGAGTACTTGGTACACTATGTGACGCCGCAAAGCATCCGTCCACTTGCGGACAAGATCGAGGCCCTACGAGTATGGCCCGAGCCCACCAACACCACGGACGTTCGTTCATTCATGGGGTTGGCGGGCTACTATCAGCGATTCATCAGCGGATACTCCAGGATTGCTGCACCTATGACGAGGTTACAGTCGCCAAAGGTGCCATTCGTATTCGATGACGACGCACGCCGGTCATTACAAGCACTTAAGACGGCTATGCTCATGGCACCTGTCCTTAGCATCTATGACCCCACCCTGCCGACTCGAGTGACTACGGACGTTTCCGGCTATGGCATTGGGGCAGTCTTGGAACAGCACGACGGCGACGACTGGCACCCTGTGGAGTATTTCAGCCACAAAGTGCCTTCCATCAACTCGCTTGATGATGCAAGGAAGAAGGAGCTTCTCGCATTCGTGATGGCTCTCAAGCGCTGGCGGCACTTCGTCCTTGGGCGTCGTAGGTTCACATGGGTCACAGACAACAATCCATTGACCTACAACAAGACGCAAGACACGGTGAGCAGCACGATCGGACGATGGATGTTCTTCACCGACCAATTTGACTTCACACCGAAGCATGTCCCCGGCCTCTCCAATCGCGCAGCAGATGCACTCTCGCGAAGATCTGATCTTTGCGCTATGACACATCATGCCTTCGCATTCGACGAGGAGCTTCAGCGACACTTCATCTGGGCATATAAGTCTGATCCGGACTTCGGCACGCTGTATGCATAGTTATCTTCGGATCACCCGCCGGCCAGCCATTACCGCATTGCCGACGGGTACTTGTTCCTCCACTCGAGAGGCAAGGACTTACTATGTGTCCCACGCGACCGTCGTCTTCGGACTCGCCTCCTTGGCGAGTATCATGATTCACGACTCGCCGACCATTTCGGAGTCAACCGCACTATTGCACAACTTCGACAGCGATTCCGATGGCCTGACCTCATTACCGATGTCACTCGGTATTGCGACTCTTGCGAAGTTTGCCGACGCAGCAAGCCCC